CAACTGCCAACTCACTCTCTCTCTCTCTCTCTCTCGCTCGCTCTCTCTCTCTCTCTCTCTCTCTCTCTCTTTTTTGCTTCTTGTGCAATGCCATGCAGGGTCGTGCAAGTCTCCAGCCGTCTCGAGAAGCGGTCTCAGCTCAACGCAGAGCTGCTTGAGGGAATAGGTCGTGGAGAGGCGCGTCCCCCACATTGGTCATGCGGGGCAGCTTGTCGAAGAGGGGGATAGAGGAGGTGTGGAACTCACGACACGGCGTGGCACGCCTCCCGAGAGTTCTGATGTACCGGAGGTGGGAGACCATGCCTATGCAGACTCAAAGCGAGCGCTGATGCTCTGGAGCGGGTTTACCATTATGCTTGACACCTTAAGGCTGTAGCCTGGTTCAAACTGCTAGGACATCCACGCGGGCCCAGAGTTTGGCCTTCAAGGGCGGCCTTTACTGCCATTGCTCCACACCTGGCATGGTGGACACTGAGCTTGGCAGGCCCGCTGTGTATGTCTCTTCGTTCTTGTCATGACAGAGGAGAGAAATGACCGAGACCAGTTTCCTTTTCTGAATCATGTTTTGCATTGCGAAATCTGCTCTCGGAGCTGGACCTTCGAATCCTCAAATCTTGAGGTCCGCTTGCTCGTGCTCCGCTTCAGGTATATGACAAAAGAAAATCTTGACGAGTAGCGCATGTTCCAGCCAGGGCCAACAAACGCAAGGGCCTTGTCTTTGGCCCGTGGCTGGTTTCAGTTTGGAGCTTTGGCACACGCCATGCTATCATCTGACTGAAAATCCGACATCAGAGGAAGCAGCCTTTACGCCTTGAGTACAATGAAACGAAGATGGCTTTGCGTGGCATATACAGGACATGCAAGGCACAGGCAGGTGTCTTGGTCCTCTCGACTTTACGGACACCTGTAGCCTGGTCTCCTGCAGCAAAGACAGCTCCACGAGAATGCAATCCCTCATTCTCCCCAAGTTTGGCTTCAGGAGGCGGCACAAAAACGCAGAAGCAAACCGAAGGCCCATGCTTGTAGGTTCTTGGACACACACGCACACACACACACACATATCCGTCCGGGTCATGTTGGGATCGGCGACGCTTTGCACCAGATCCAGCATTCCCGTCACATCCTAAAGTCAACTCGAGAGGCTTGCATTGCCTGTGAAGGCATGGCAGTCTATTTCAATTAGTTGCGGCCTCACCTGTGGCTCTCGCTTCCTGGGCCTCGTAGCCCTTGACCCTTGACCTAGCAAGACTTAGCAACTCTTGCAATTCGTGTGCAAGAGTTGTTTGCTGCGATTTTATTGCCTACCACCCGCCGCCCGACCGAAGCCGGTTCGACCGACGAGTTCCTTTTTCCTTGCTGCGTTGCCAATGTTGCCGTCTCGCCAGTCGCTGCATGAAATTCGTGTTGGGTAGCACAGGTCCCCGCGGTAGCAGAAGCCTGTTTGCCAGGTATTCCGTGAGTCCATGGCTGTGGCCGCTCACGAAGCCGCTCCGTGCCGACGACAGCAGCTGGGAGTGGATTTGAGTTTTTAGGGGAGTGCAGCGGCTGCAAGGTATGCTCCTCCTGCGATCTCCTGCAGAGGGTGCTCTCGCGGCTGTGGCTGGTGGACTTCTTCCGCAGGCTACGACCCGTTTCGGACGGTACATGGATGGCGAGGCTGGGACAGAAGCCTCCGAAGCAAGTGCAGTTCTACCATCTTTCGGAGGTGCAATTGGAAGACTTGGTCCTGAGCCGCATGGGTGCCATCCTCAGGGCTGTTTTGAGCACAGGTTACTTGCCAACATAACCTAGGGACATCGAGGCATGGGCACGGATACATGGAGAGGTAGACTCCTGCACGCCAGGCGAGAAGGCCCTGGCGACGGATCTCGTGAAATGGGCATCTAAAGCCACGGCTTTGGAGCAGCGCGCGGATGGCTACGACCGCTGAGCAAAAAGAGCGAGTGCGAAGGATGAGGATGCTTTTTGATTCCGTCGTACATGGAAAGCAAGAGAAATTGCAGAACACAAGCTTGCTCTGAAATACGTATCGTGTGCTCGAGTGCCGCCGTGCCGGTAGATCGGCGATCTTTTTATGAAGGTGGAAGACGTTGGGTTAGGAGGAGACACCGACAAATGGCACAGAAGCAGAACCCATCATCAGCTTCATCGAGAACCCTCCTTGCAGTCCCATGTAGGATTTTGGCAATGGCTCATCTTTATCAGGAGCTCAATCCGCAGAGCTCCGAGAGCCGATTCTTCACGTGTTCAGTTCGCATCGAAGTTAGCCCGAGGCCCGTCCTCTACGTGGACAAGAAGTCCGGATTCACACCGGAGAAGTGGGCAGAGGTACCTGCGACCATGTGATGTGACGACGCCGTCAGACAAGGAATGTTTCGAGGATGAGTTCGGGTTCCGGTTGGTCAAAGGGTATCAGCAAACACAGTCGTCCATGTCAGATGTCAGACGTGTAAGTCCTTTCAGAAGTGTCTTGCCACCAAAAGCTGCAGGCCATCAAGGTTACTTGCACAGTCTATGTTGGCAACTTAGCATTCTTCACTCGAGAGGACCCTCTTTTCAGCAGCCTGCGATGTGCTGCCCGTCTTGTAGCAGTGGAAGCGGAAACTCTGGGTTTGCAGCACGTGCGATGATGTGCAGGAACAGATTTACGAGCTATTCTCGAAGTGTGGTGATGTGAAGCGAGTGGTCATGGGTCGGCGACTTAGGGATTCTTGTCAGTTGCTTTGTGCATTGCCGCCTCGAGCTTCGTGCAGAATTGATCTCCGAGGCTTGAACAGGCACCAAAAAGTTCCATGTGGGTTTTGCTTCGTGGAGTACTTCAAGCACGCGGGGCACTTGGGCACGTTTATCACTTCGCTTCCTTGCTACCGCCCCTCTATAGTTTCAGCTCAGAGCTCTGGTAGGAGCAAGCGGAGCTGGCCGTGAACCTGCTGCTCTTTGGCTGGAGGGAGAGCAAGAAACAGCAGGAAGAGAGAGAGAGAGAGAGAGACCAGTGCGCGTGCGCGCGGGGGGTAGGACACTGCCCTCCGGCTTTGTAGAAGAAGAGAGAGGTGGCGTGAGTGTAGCGCTTGTGTCTTGCTGTGTTTGCAGTCTCGACAGCAGGAGAGGAGTCCTTGGTGTTGTAGTCTCGGAGAGTTCGTATAGATGTTTCAGGAGGGGACTTCACTCCGACGCCAAAACGTACAGCCGAGCCCTACGGAGGAAGCGGGGGGGGGTGTCCGCCTTCTCCTCCTGGCCCGGTAGAGAGAGAGAGAGAGAGAGAGACAGCAGCCTCTTCACGTCGCCTCAAAGCCCCATAACAAGTGGGGGGCCAATAGGCCGGGGGACTTAAACAGTCCCGTATGCCATGAGGAAGAAGACAGAGAGAGAGAAAGTGGGGGCTGTGTGGAAGAAGAGAGAGAGAGAGAGAGAGAAGTTGACACCCAGACCACCGATGCGGGGGACCACCAGTCGCAGCCGTCAGAGCAGCCACCGGTCGAACCGTGGGTGCCGCCGCTCAACACGGAGCAGTGGCCGGGGAGCATCCCTTCTTCCACCGTGCTCTCCAGCACGCAGGAGGGGGACCGCTTTGAGCCCACAGACGACGACCTTCTCCAAGCCCTCGAAGAATACGAACGGAGGGAGCAAGCTGATGTGCTGCAGCAAGTAACGGGGGAACACTCAGAAGCTACACCTGAACAAGCCCAACTGAGTGAGGGGGACGGAAGTGATGCTGAGCACCGTAGGCGACGAGTACAGGCCAGTCTTTTTGAGAGCAGGGGGAACCCGGCTGCATGAACTAGGGGGATCTCCAGCAGTCCTTTCCTTTCGATTGGGGGTGATACCTTCGTCATATCGTTGTGTTGTGAAGCCGGGGCCTCAGCTGCATGAACACCTTTTGCTCTGTGCACATGGGACGTTCAGTTGGGGACCACACCTGATGTAAGTTTGTAGGTGGTAGGCAGCATATGTCTTGTCTTCGGGGGACGTCCAGATCATGTGCGGTAGCAAGCTCGTGAAAAGGCGAGTTTAAAACACAGAGCCGGTGTCAGCCTTAGCTTGGTGCTTGCGAGAGGCTGGGGGGTTATTTAGTCACTAGAGGGGGTTTGACAGTTGCGAACCTCTCGGCCTCAGCGTGTAGTCGTCGAGCCGGACCAGAGACCACCAGGGCGCGTACGCGCGCAGGGGGGGGTGCACTCGTGCCTCTCTCTAGTCTGTGTTGAAGAAGAGAGGGGCAGCCAGTGTTAGTGCCAGTTGACTTCAGTGCAGTGCTTTCAGTGTGTGCTTTCTTTCATGGCAGTCCATGGTCTTGCAGCGTCCCAGGGGCCCACCCCCTTGCAATGTCAAGGGGTAGCAGTCACTCAGCACAGAGTGGGGGTCAGGACAGACGTGCCCATCTAGGTGGGCTGATTCGCATGCCAAGGAGGGTAGGCAGGAATTTCGGGGGCCGAGTGCTGACACCCACGAGGGTTTCACCAAACCAACAGACAACGGAATATGGCGCAGCGCGAGAGTGCAGGGGTTAGGGTCTTAGGACCCTGCCCCAAACGTCGCGCAAGCAAGCAAGCAAGGGACAGCACTAGAGTTGAAAAGGACTTCCCCCAGAATCACTAAAAATCAACAGGACTTCCCTGCCCCCAAACCCGAAACCCTAAACCCCTAGCTTTCCCAAACAAGGGGGGGTCTCCCCAAGGGAGCAGCTGTGGGAGGCGGGGTTATCGGAGTGGGAGCCGAGTAGCGGCGTGCAAGGATTTCCAGCAGGGCCTCGGAGCTTCATGGGTTCATTATGTAAGATATTATATAACTTGTTATAAGCTATGATCGTATACTGTAGTATAGTATAGTATAGTATATTTTATTATATATCAACATATCATGCTGGTATATTATATATACGTAAAGTATAGTGTAGAGCATAGTATGGTATAGTATCGTTGCGATGTCCAGGAAGTCCGTCATGGGCTTACAGGCATTGCTCAGAGAGCAGTCGCCAGCTCAGAGCGATGAGAGTGCTTTGAAGCGCGTGTCGTCGACTTGGAGGGGGCCGCGCTAGAAGCCGAAAGCGGGATGTTGGGGGTTTGCAGGTGTGGGGCGGCTCTTCGGCCCCGAGCCGTGCTTGCAGTTTCACGTGACATAGGCCCAGGAACCCGGGCACATACGTGCGCATGCGGTGGAGGAATCCTCCCACAAAACGAGCGAGAGAGACAGAGAGAGAGAGAGAGAGAGAGCGATCTCGGGTAACCCCCCTTGTCCATAACCCTGCCGAAAGAAAGAGAGAGAGATCGCGCGGGAGGGGGTGTGTGTGCATGCCCGCTCTCTGACTCTGCTGAAGAAGAAGATGACCAGATGGTTTGGGGACCAGGTCACACTTGTGTGCCGGGGTTGCAGAGTTCCTGTCCTCTTAGAGAAAGGCATGCACGTGAGCATTGCGTTTTTTCTTCTCCCTTAGCACTCTCTTTGGGTGTATCTTGTTGAAGGAGCCTGTAGCAGCTTTAGCAGTTCTCCAAGGAACAAGACTTCTTTCGATGATCGCATCATACGCTGGAGCCTTATTGTTTACTTGGCCGGTTCTTCGTGACGTTGTCAGGCAGCTTGACCCAGCCATGTGGGAGTTTGGGTGTTGCATGTTTTCAAAGGTGTCGATCTGGACGCCGGGTACAGCAAGGGCCGGGAATATGGCAGGGGCGAGCCTGCAACTTAGATCTCCTTCACTCCTACAGAGCTGCAACAGCCGGCTAGAACACAGGATCCTGAGCTCTAAACCCTAAGCCCTAACCCGAAACCCTAGTATCGTGGTGGGCTGAGAGGTTTTCTCGTGCCGTGTCCTGCGCTGTGAGGACTGGTGGACAGTGGCGCGATGACTTTCGAGAGGACGTCGACGCTGCGCGAGGTGGCAAAGGCCAGCGAAAAGCGGGATAATGTGGTTTCCCTCTGATGGTAACCTAGATTAAATTACGTTCTTTCAGAAGAACCCAGAGAATGTTGGCTCCACGACCTCCTCTATCATGATAGGAGAACAAAGTCTACAAGCACATGAATCAGAATGAATAGGCGGAGAAATTTGCGCGCACAGATCCCGGACCATACAAGAGGTACATGAATAAGACCAGCGAGATATGACCATAAGATCAGGCAACATGTGGTGCACCACTTCAATCCAAATTATCTGAGGGTAAACCGTGGCGGTAAATCACTTTCGCGTGGCAAATCCGTGATGTGCATTCGCGGTCATGCCAGCATTTACGCTCACACGGCGACGCTGGTTCCTAGAAGGCGCAAACGGGCCTGCATTGCTCGGGAGCACAGCGGAAAATGCACAATGAATCAGGCCTCCCCGAAGACCCGTGTCCACCACGATCCTTTATACGATCCTTTATGGAGAACAATGGAATGCCGGCGACAAGTATGCACTGCAGCACAGGTTGAAACTTGAGCCCGGTCTCCGCACAGATCCTGCATAAATAATAGAACATGGAGACCAAACTTGCACTGCATCATGTGAATGCTAGCACGAGGGCAGCCGTTGTGGCTGTGGCCAGGGCGCGGACTCTAATCAATTCTCTTTACTCCTAAAGTAAGAACCCCTTAGTGTCATCACACTGTTTGGGGAAACATTATATGTGTGTATATACATATATATATATGTATAAATAAATAACACATACTTATACATACACTACATATGTTTATGTAGTAGTCAACAGTTTCCGTCTATATGCTTTGTAGATGTGATTTTCTCATGAGCTATGTCCCTTCGCATTCTTGGCTCGTCGGGCAAGCAGGTGGAGGACTGCTGAAAAGGATTGAGGGCATGTCTGCGGCTCAGTGTTGCGCGCCTGTGTTCGACACTTTCCTCTGCAGAGAAGATACAGTCTAAGACAAACATAGACTACTCGTAAGAATTCGGCAACCTTATAACCTATGGGTATTATAGCTACAGCCCGAAGCTGAGAATAGTAAGAAGAGAAGTTCAGAACTGGAGGCCTGGTCGGCAGGTTTACCGCGGAAGCAAACGGAAGGCAAGGGATTTTGAAGTTCCCCAGGGCGGTTTCTCAGCGAACCCGTCTTTTTGTGAGGACCATGGGAGGTTCGGAGCAGCCGAGAATGAAGCTGCAAGCTGAGTGGGATTTCCTCCTTCGCTGCACTCCCTCCCACCTTGCATTGAGGCGGGCAAGAAGGCGAAAGGGGACAAAGCTGCGGGTGGCGAGCTCAGATCCTGCGCTACTTCAGGCTCTCTTGTGTTGTCTGTTGCTGGAATGGGGGAGCAATATGAGCAACTCTTGTATCCCTGGCTCTGAGCCTTAGTTGCAAGCCTGGCCAAACCGCTTCCGACTTTGTCAAGGAGCCGGCAAGTATTCACGGCAAGTGCAACAAAGCAGAGCAAAGCGGAACAATGCAAAATACGGCAATTCAAGCAAACAGGAAAGCTGGCAAGCAAGCAGCCTCGAATGCAGGAAAGAAGCACCGCAAGATCAAGAAAGCTGACTGTAATGCCTTCTAGAGTGGCCCCAGTGGTGCACTGCCTGAGTGGCTTGGTGTGCGGACGCTTACTGCGTTGCATCTGGACGTCAGTGGCTGAATCGTCCATTCAATTGACACTAGCAACATGACACCTTTTGCACACATCCAGTGCTACTGCTAAGGCGCAGTCATGACGTGCCATCATCGGGAAGGGCTCCTGCTGAGCAGAGGGTGCACGGGCATCAGCCCAGTGCGGCAGGTAGCGCTGTGGGTACGCCCACTGTGATTTCTTCCGGATCCCGCATGCGCCTGGAAGTGTTGTACATCTCCGGTGCAACTGTCTGTGCCTCAGGACACAAACCTTGCGCCATTCACACAAGGAGTTACACACGGACATCTTGTAAGGTGGCTACTCTCGATGCGTGCTCGAACTGGACTGGTGCAGATCTGAAGCGCATCCTGCAGCCATTTCTTCAGAAGGGCGTGGCGATCGCGGGAATCATCAACGAAGGCAGGTCGGCCGCAGCAGAAACCGTGCTTCACGTCACTTCGCTTGCCATCGGGAGGCACAGCGATCGAAGACACCCAAACATTGGAGGAGGCAGGCGTCAAGTCTGGACAGCTCTACCTCATGCTGCGGAGCTGTACATACTTGATCGAAGGCAGGGAGCTCACCATTGAGAAGCTGCAAGCATGGCATGAGCAGTTCATTGCGTACACATCACACGCATGTTCACTACCAGATGCCGGAGCGGAAGTGGTGAATGGCTACTACGTCCAGAAAGAAGGCCAGATGCTTGTTGCAGGTGCCAGAGAGACTGCGCATGGGCTGAAGGTGAGCTGAATAAATCGCCAGTCTATGCGAATGAAGCTGGCATTCTGCTCTTCAAGTACAAGATGGCCGCTCCGAGAGAAGACGAGAGAGAGAGAGAGAGAGAGAGAGAGAGCAGGGCTCTGTTTCTCCCTTTTAGATCTGAGGCTCGGGGCTCCGAGTACTGGTACTTGAGCCGTGACGGTGACCTGAGCCGCTCCGACGGCGACTACTACCGGGTCCGCTCCAACAGCAAAAGGCCGCCGGAGGAGGGCTGGAGCTGGGAGGCTTGCCCTTTGGGTCGCCGGACCACGGCCCCTCGGCCTTCGGATCGGATTGCGCGAGTTTTTTTTGTGATGATTCGATGAAGGTACATGGGGGAAGGGGGGGGGGCTTGGGGGCTTGTTTCTACTCGAATTCTGATACTAGTAACTAGTAGGGAGCCCTGAGAACAGTATTGACAGTCTTGCTAATGGCTTTTTCTGGAAGCTGCCCTGATGCACGAGTGTGCGCTCAGATCCCGACGTTGACGTACTTTGGGAGCGACAAGGCCTCCACCACCGCTCAGGGCATACCGGAGCTTCGATGCTGCTCGGAAGTTGAATCTTTGCAGGATCTCGGGGGATTCTGCTCTTCGTCCACCGCCTCTGGTGAAGCCCAGAGCGCTTCAGACACCTCTGACTGATGAAGTGAGGGGCAAAGGTTTAAAGAATTCGGCAGGGCAACCCATCGCAGTTGTCAACTCTTTGTTATTTCGGGCCTACAACCACAAAAGACCGGTTGGAGTAGAAGGTGGGCAGGCTTTCCCAGGCCGTTGGCTTGCAGTGGCGAAGGCCTTCGTCCTTTGAAGACGGCATCTCGCCTTTTCTGTCGTGCAAGTGTTCCCGCCCGCCAAAGGCAAAAAGCCCAACCTGGGGGAGTAAAAAGACAAGCCGACAACGTGAGTCATGTCCGTCCATGGGTTTCCCATCTCTCCAGGCAGCTGGGCCCAGCACGGAGCCTTGACTGCACTTGCGTTGTCCCAACCTTCGGCTGTCGACGGCATGCTAAGCTGCTAAAGTTGCTGGTACGGGCTTTTGGCTACTGCGACTCCACACGCACAGGACCACAGTTCTCCGAGCTTCCACTGCAGTTCGGGTTCCGGACTTAGACTGGCGCCTTTCCTGCTGTCAGAGGCTCGTGCTGCATGAGATCTGCAGAACTGAGGCCCGCGCGCTTTGGAGGCCGCGGTAGCTGGACCACTCACACTCGCAGAAGAGTTCTCTCAGCAACTTTCTTGCTCAGGCAAAGGCAGAGGAAAAGGGAAGCCGTAAGTGAACAGGCACAGCCCTTTCACCTCCCCTTCAAGCCGTAACTCTTCACAATCTACTTTGGTCCATGCCAAGTCTGTTGGCCAATGTCGGACTGGTAGATGCTTGTACAAAGTTTGTTGTCGACGGACGGCGAGGGATGTGTTGTCAATCATGGTCCGTCCAACGTGTCACGTGCGAGCCCGACTGCAGCATGCTGCATCTTTGAAGGTCATCTCGCCTCAGCCGTCCACTGCTTGAGCTTGTTTCAGCTGCTCCTGCACCTCCGGTATCGTTTCGACCGAGCACACACACACACACACCTGCACAAGCTTGAAGAGAGCTCAGCCCCTCTAGCAGTTCGGGGCCATGCGGGGCCGTCTTCGACATCGCTTCTTGGCTCTCGCCCTCGGGATCGCTCCCAGGATGCAATCAGGGATGTTGCCTGGCCGGAGACCGGGCATTTTAGGCCTCGTGCTGAGGCCTTGCACAGCTGCCCTGTTGGCTTCCTCGGCTACAAAGGAGGGATCTCACAATAAAAGCACCACTCTGTCATCTTGTCTGATGCTCTGCGCTCGTTGTGCCCGAAGGCGAGACGCCGTTCAGGCAGTGCAGTCAAAGCAGACGTGTGGTACTCCGTGCTTCTTTCGACCAACAAAGGGTAACATGGTATGGTTGAGCGTTTGGATAGTGCAGGGCTTCCTGCTAACAAGACACATTTGTTTTCTCGATTCTCACCCAAGGCTGCCAAGCAAGAGCTCTTGGATGCCGTGAAGGATTTCAAACGTGAGCTGAGCAAGAGCGGTGGCGACTTGAGTATAGACTTCGGGGTGAAGGGCGGCGAGCTCGACAAAAAGGATCGAGCGCCAAAGAACTTAGCTGCTGCAGGGGTCTTCCGTGCCGTCTCGGGAGATCTTGGAGATGCTGCAGATCGCGTTCTCGAACTGGCGGACTTGCTTGCCCGGTATACGCCCAACAAAGAGCCACTGAAGCACTTTGGAACGTCACTGGGATCGGAGTGTGCGTTGCATGGAGCTTGGAGCTTGCTGTTCACGACAGCCGCCGATGCAACATTCACGAAGAACAGCACTCGGGGTGCCGCCAAAGTGTGCAACGTCGTGGATGCAGTGGCCGGCACGGTAACGAACTGCATCGACTTTGAAGAAACCTCAGCTCTTGAGAGCCTTCGAGTACGACTGACTGCGCGTCCAGCTAGCCCAAGGCGCTTGGACCTGGCCTTCAGATCTCCTGAAGCAAGCTACGGTAGAAGATATTCTCCTCCGACCTTGCATATCATATCATATCATGCATTTTATCATGCCTTTTTTCCATCCCCCTCGGCTTGGAAGCTAAGGATATATACGTGCCCGAGTGAAAAGCTTCTTCGGCATCCCGCTGGGCGGCCGGCGACTAACGCTGACGCTGCCGGTACCTGGTCCATTCCTGACACGAGTCTTATCTTTCTTTACCAGGCTGGGTTGGTCTTCATTACAGGTCTGAGGGCTTCGGGTTGCGCGTGTGCTGTCTTCAGGAAGCCGCCGCCACAACCGTACTTCGATCTCCTGTACTTGGATGACACCCTGCGTGTACATAGAACAGGCCAGGGTAACCTTTTCATACAAGAGATCACGAAGCCGCCGCCTTTCGTTTAAGTCAGGTGGCGCAAAACAGCAGATGCATGTGTTGCCGAGGAGTGTCAGACAATGAATTGCATCGGTGCTACGGCAGTGCACATCAGATTGCCGCAGCCATATGTGAAGACATCGGGAAAGGGTATGAAGGTAGGTTTGACTGGGCTTTCGCCCGCGTTCCAGTTCTGGCCTGTGAAATACGTTTTAGCTCCTTTGCCAACTCCTCACTTGAACCAGTGTTGTTGAGCTTTCAGATGCACTACTCCCCAGACATGCCTCCAGCTGTGGTCCTTGGTGAGCCATGGCGGAAGCTGAGGCCCGTTGTTGTAAACTGCTAGACTCAGAGGATCTCGGGGACGACGCCTGAGGCGGCGCACCCAGAGCCGGTGAAGTTCAGTGGCCCGTTGCATGGCCTGGATCTTGGTGCCGCACAGAGAAAGACCTCATACGGCATAGTAGAATTTTGATGTGGTCAAGGCCTTTCTGTCAGTGGCTTTTCCGAGTCCATCACGGTGTGTTGCGTGCGATGCAAGATCGGTCCCATGTGTCAAAAGGGGAAAGGGCATCACTTGTGCGCCTGACATACCTGACATCCCCTGCGATTACCACAGCGCGAGGAAATTCAGAGTATATGAGCAGCAAGCCCAACCGCTCGCAGCAGTCAGCACTTGCCCTTAATTGAGTAGCATGTCAGCACCTGTCGCAATGATGTCGCGGTGGGATCTGTGCTGAAGCCATCGGGAGGATGGGGAAGGCCGAAGCTCAACTGCCGGCTGGGGTGAAGCAGCCAGATACCTGAGCAGGCAAAGCCAAAGACGGCTGCAAAGAGCACCAACGGAGACGGAAAGGCCATCGAGAGGAAGAGCACTTGGAAGACTGCCCTGTCGTTCTTCATTACTGAAGCTGCTCTTGCCATGCAATCAGGCATCTGCCGGGTGGTCTCCATATTGGACACCGCCAATTGCCGGACTCGTGCCTCGTTTGCTGCGGTCGACGGCATGTCGAAACGATTCTGCGATCGTGCTGCCTTCGTTGATATGCATCGTGTAAAGCATAACAGCATGGTCCAGGTGCTGCTGGTGGCATGGCTGGTTGCCGCAAGAAGCTTTAGCGGAGCAGGCACAGCGCATAGCACTAGCACAAAAATCGAACCCTTATTCTATGCAACCAAGCATCAGAGGTGTCGATGAAGCATCGAAGAAAGATTCCGGTGCTGCAGAGGCGCGCCGAGTGCCGTCCTTTCAATCTGACTGAGCGCTTTGTCTGCTGTGTTGAGGACCCCAGTCGCGCGGGCAGCAGGAACCGCGATGAAAAGCCAGCCCCGGTCCTGCACTTTACGGCTTCTACAGCAGCGGCAGGTTGTTGTTGATGGATTCGGCCTTCTCATGTTTGCGTAGCAGAACGAGAGGTCAAACAGACGGCGAAGACAAAGACGCCGACCAAGAGCAGCCAAAGTAAGGCAGAGACCGCAGTTCAGGATCGGAGTTGGTTCCGCGGCGGTTGATGAACTGTTGAAATTTGCTTGCAGGACGGTCCTTACAAGTGGAATCCGAAGACACTCTCTGTGGTCTTGCCTTGTGCTGGAGAAGGGCTTTTTGCCAAGAAGACCCTCAGCCTTGAATGCCGGGGGTGTCGCGTTGGGCTTGGGGTAGTGCAGAAGCCCTTACCTGACACAGGACTGTCATATCCGTTGCTGATTCGGTTCCCGGCGGAATCGGTGGCGGTATTCTCGAAGACATCGTCGTGTCTTGAAGCAATTGAACAGTTTTTTGGTGTGAGCTCGCAAGCCGAGCTTAACTTACGAGGTTGTGGACGATGGGAGCCAGCCACCGCTGGATAAGGATTTTCTTCCAATTTGCATGCTTGGAGTTGCACTTCACATGCCATGTGGCAGGACTTCCTCACGAAGGAATTTCGCAAAGAGCCTCTCGACACATGACAGGGGTCTGGCTTGCATTGGACAAGGAACGACAACTGTCGTGCTTACGTGTGGCGAGGTACCCCGTGAAGCTTGTACGGCACAAGACTGCTGTCGGGCTCATGGGTGCGAAGTCTGCAGGCCTCCGGGCACGAGCCGATCCACGAGCTTTGATTTTGCACAGCCCTCAGGCGCAGCCAAAGCTGCTGGTGATGTCATCGTTTTCTTCGACTGCCACGTTGCGCCGCAGGCTGGCCACCGGTTCTCTTCAGAATGAGTTTTTTCGAAGTTGGTGTTGCCGATGGCCTGCTGCTTCTAGCAGGAAGATTGGTATCGAAAGTTCTTGGACAGCATCGCGATGAATTACCGCCGCATTGTCGTTCCTGTGCTGCTCCCAGCGTACATCGAGCCCCGGGTGGCTGATGTTTTCAGGCGTGGCCATAGTTACTTTGAAGGTCATCACCAACCTGGACATCGATACGTGGAAGGAGGTGAATCGGAATCAAGGCTTTGCCAAATGCGGCTCGGCACGTCACTTTATCCATTCGCCTCTAAGAGTCCTTGGCAGAGTCGCCAAGGCTACCTCACTTGGGATGCTGATTTCAAGTGGGTCGAGACTGCTCCGCACTTGCGGCACTTGCAGTCTTGGATTCGTTTGGCCCTTCCCAATGACTGGCAGCAAGGAGAGCAACTCGCCTTTCATGCCGGTTCTCTCCGGCGGCCTGCTTGGCATCTCCAAGCGCTGGTGGAATGAAACAGGAGGCGGGGGCTGAGCCATGCCGGGACTCTGCGCTGCACAGTGCGGACTCAGTTCACACCCGTCTCCCTTCGGACAGTGGCCCGTTTGTGTTGGAAGCTTTCGAGGCTTCGGCGCTGTCCTAGGTATGTAGCAGTAGCAGCCATAGATTTTGTTTCCTGTCACAGCAACGAGACGTGCCTTCATGGCGATTCATTGCGATAGACTACAAACGATAAGTAGGAAGGATTAGGAAGACACCTCGAGGATATGACGATGGAATGAGCGGCTGGGGTGGAGAGAATGTTGATCAGCCTGGTCCTCACCGTTTCTGCGGTCACATCTTTTCATCCCTCCTTCTGTCTTAGTTTGCCTCACCCAGGTCCTTGCGGTCGTGGCTCTGTGGTGGCGAGATCCTTTCGCTCCCGAATGCCTTTGTGGCCCATATGTGGCGAAAGACTCATGGCTTGAGCGGCTTGCGGATGAGCGTGCGCAGCTCGAGCAGCGAACCTCAGGGGCCAGTTTTGGATATTATCCTATCTTATATGATATGATGCTACATTGTACATTCTACAAAGTTCTATTATATTTTATATGATATGATGCTACATTGTACTAAGTTCTATCATATTTTACTATTTTTCGGTCATTTCTACGCCAAGGAGGGAGGATCCGCGAACTGCGCAGAACTACGAGGTCTCACAGCTGGACTCAGTGAAGAACAAGGCTGCCCGGCTCTATCTGAGCATCATCCGCTCCTGGGTAGTTAGGGTCCCCCTTGAGGGTCACGGTTTTTAAGAGGCTGTTTAGGGTTTAGGGTTTAGGCCTGCCGCATTATTGTTGGGACCTAAAAAGGGAGCCTAATTTGGAGAGCTACCCGGTAGCTTCCGATAGCTTGCCTGGACCGTAGAGAGGGCAGGCAGCACAGTGCCAGCCAATAAAGGGGCCTTAGATATCTGGGAATAGGGGTTTGGGGTAGATTATACGATACCAAAGTATAACCATACAGAATTAGATGTTTGGGGTAGATGATACGATAGCGAAAAATTAAGCAGACAGAACAGTACAGAACTACCTCTTCAAGGGTTTGGGTGTGCTCGTCGCTAACCATTAGGGCTTGGTTTTGGGTGTGCTCGTCGTTGGCCGTTAGGGTGTAGAGCACGCTTTTTGGTATCCGAGGGATTGGGCTTGATGATGTGGCGTTTCGACATGCCCTCTAGAGCGATCCAGACGCACAATCCCGGTCGGAGCATGGAGCCTGCTCAACCCCTTCGATCCAACACTCTCACCGATGTCTGCAGACAACCCGACACAAGCTATAGACATGCTGCGCGTCGCGTTATCCCAAGTTTCCGAATTCCGGAGATCCACCCTGCAAGGATTGCAACGTTTTGTCGAGCTGAGAGGCGTTGCTTTCACGGACTGCATACAAATAAACCATGTCTGTGCGGCGTCACGAAGCATGCTGAACAGTGTTCGTGAAGCAATGCAGGCTTCGGCTGATACCTTTGAAATAAAGTCTTCTTTCAACTCTGGCTTCTTGGTTCAAGCGGCCTGTCCCTGTGTGCTTGCAAACCGAGGCGCGGGCGGTGCTAGCGTGGTTCGATGAGTACCGCAGTAAAGCAGCGGAGTACCCAGCTATGTCCTACGTCGGCCAGAGCCTCGGAAGTTGCCGGGAAGGTGTCCGAAGCCTGCGGCTGTGATCCTCAGTGCGGGCCACGCTGCGACTTTCGACTCAGGTCTGTTGGATGGCCAGAAGTCCCAGGTGCCATGCAACCAGACTCATGCTACTGTCTTACAAGAAGGAAAAGGAAGCTCTTCAGGGCCTGAATTGAACCTCATAGTCATAGCTTGCAATCTGATGCAGCATTGCCTGTTGATGACGCTTTGGCAAGCTGGTGTCTGCGGCGATCCCGGAGTGACCTCATAGCATAGTTGATCTGCAGGTTGATCTCAACCGCAACGTGGGCAATTTCGAAGAGGTCAAGAAACGTAGTCTGGCGGCAGTAGTTTCATTGTCACTTGCGGCACCCTCTGGAGCAACAAGAGTCATTACCACTCACACCAGCAGTGCATGTTTTTGCCCGAGGACTGCAATGCCGACCTTTTGCCTGGTTCCTGTGGCGATTCCGTTCCACTCTCATTGTTTCAGTGGTCCATGTGGTACGATGAAATTTTGGCCTCCTCATACTCCGTGATGATCACCGGCGTGACGCTTTTGCTGCGTAGGTGAGATCTACATGGAGGGTGGGTTGCTGCCGACGGAGGTCTACAAGCTGCGAGAGGCCCCACCAAAAGAGCCGCATGCTAGTCAAGGAGTATACTATGTATGCTATACCATAGTATACTACCGTATGTAATAGTATATGATAGTATAATGTGCTATATGTATAACAAATACATAAATAAATGATTAAAAATACAAATAAATACAAAATATATATGTTAAAAAAGTGATAGTAATATTTATCATTGTTATCGTTTAAACCCAGTCAGACATGATCACGTGCATGGTAGGTGAAGTCTGGCAGCTGCTTGACCTACTTGGGGCCCATGGGAACACACCCTTCCGGCTCAGGAGCTCTGTCCCTATGCCTTTTCCTGTATATGTTTAGTTAGGGTTTAGGGTTTAGGGTTTAGGGTCTATCTAGGGATTAAGAGTGTAGGGTTTAGATCGGTTTAGGGTTTGGGGTTTAGGGTTTAGCGGTCTTTCTTGACCGCTTTTTAGCTTGTCTTTTTCGTGCTTGCGTTGCAGGACAAGCGGCTTTGCTTCCCTGCAACATGCCGCTGGCGAACATGAGAGGTTTGCATCCTGAGGCCAAGCAAGGGCTGCTTTGAGATTGTGCTTGGCCTAAGCTTGGCTGCTTCTCAGCAGCAATAGGACTCATCCAAGCGCCTGACTTCTCACGTCGTGGCATGTCAAGCAGGCGCAGAAGTGGCACGCACGGAGTCGCCCTCAGGGACTTGCTTGTGGTAGTGTGTTCTGTGTGTGTTTTCCGAACCTGCTGATGCAGCACTAAGCTGCACCATCCCGCTGCAACTTCCCAGGAACAGAGACCCGAAGACCGGAAAGTGCTGCTCTGCTATCGGGTTGCTTGGCAGAAGCGGCAACAAGTAGAGTGAAGCAAGTGCAGCGTGTCGTCGTGTCGGATGAAGTGTCAGTGGATGTTCAGGAGCTGGAACACGGACCAGTGCCTCGTCCAGCTGACCGAGGGGATGTTGCAGACCCATGTCTGCGACGTCTCCGGCAAGCAAGCGATGCCATGGTCCCTCTCAGCATCCAGGCTGCCATAGTTGCTGGAGGGGTTGCACACACCTCCGGAGGATTGTGAAACTGCAAGCCGTTCCATTCTTGGCAGCTGAGGCTGGTGCAGGCAATTGTGGCAACAGAGCCTGCGCTTCATGGCAACTTGACAGTTCTGCCCTTGCCAGGCAGATGGCCAGGTCAGCTTGTGATGGGGCTCCCTGGTCGGGCAGCCGGCCTGCATTGAGACTGTTGTGGACCGGCATTGACACTGATCTCGGCTCTCACCCAGGAGCGGTGCCTGGTCCGAGACAAGAAAGCGGGTCAAAAGCCTCTAGGCTCCGGGGTGTCAGGGAAAGTTTTGCAATGACTCTCGACTCTAAGCCATGCCACGGTTTGGGTGATCAAACACTTTGTGTGGCTAGCTTAATGCTACAAGAAAAGCCGACAGTCGACCATCATAAGCCGTCTTTGGCATCCTCTGAGTGCCTCAGAGGCGGGAAAGGCAAAGGTCCCTCCTAGGTTTCCCAGTGGTGCCCTTTTGCCCTCTTTCTTGTTGCGTTCCCTTATCAAAAAGCCCCCGAAGGGGAACGAAGACTTGGAAGCGATCACCTCCAAAAGTAATATACTACATACATACTTATATTATAACATAATATAACATAATATATTATAACATAATATAACATAATATAACATAATATAATGGAATATAATAGAATATAATAGAATATAGCATAATAGAATATTTTAGTATATTATATAACATACTATAATATAATGTAATACAATATTATACAAGGTACGATAAGATAAGACTAATCTCATCTAGCCTAATCTAACATAATATATAGTATAATCTAATAAAATATATTATTATATAATACACTAAACTATACTATACTATGCTACAATATACAATATTATAAAATAGAAGAATACAATATATTATAATACAATATAATATAATATAATAGAGTATATTATGTTATAATATATTATATTATATTATGTGATAATACATTGTGACATACTTTATTATGTTATAATATAATATAATATAATATAATATAGTGTAATATGATATAATATGATATATTATAGTATAGTATACTATAATATAATATATTATAGTATAATATAATATAATCCAATACAAATATATGTATATGTATATGTATATGCATATGTATATGTATATGTGTATGTGTATGTGTTTGTACATGTATATGTGTATAATACATAGTATGAAAATACAACTAATAACTAAATGAATAAACAAATAATATATATATATATACACATACATACATACATAGATGCACACATACACATACACATAATGCATTCTTAGTTACAGAGAACCCCAAGACCTGGCCATGCTCGCTTCAGCCAACAGGCCGAGATGGGTCTCTGAAGGCTGACTTGGTGAAATTCGCCCCTTGCTTGCACACACTTCTCCACTCGTGGCATCAGTCTTGGGAGTTTGCGGCATTTTTGGGGCAGTTTGGGGGCAGTTTGGGTGCATTTTGGGGGCAATTTGGGGGCTTTTTTTTGGTTTTAGGGCTTGGGGTGAGGGTTTCGGGGGTCCCTTGGGGCCCAAACTCGGCAGGTCGACTGCGAGAAGGCAGCGAAGAGTGGCCCCAAATGGGAGAAGCTGGAGGTGCTGGAGCCTTTGGAGACCCGGCTCTATCAGGAAGCCCGGGCCTTAGAGCAGTTTTAGGGGGGTTTTATAGAATCAAAAAACACTATCTAATACATGATTCACATGATTCACATGAAATTCACATGGTATCTAAAAGATAGTATTTGATCGAACTTTTGAGATATGGTATTTAGTTTATGGTATAGTCTGTAGCTCCAGAGCTGCCCCCTTTCCCGAAGGCTTTGAAAGAGCGTCCAGAGATCTTCGTGGAGTGAGATCATCTGCTTCGGCCTGTGGCCGACATCGGTTAATGGCATGAGCGACTCCTTCAAGGAGATGTTAACGAACTCACACGAAAGCTGTCGGCGGCTTGCGTGTGTGCTTAGTGGCTGACAGAAGAAGGCGGAGCCTCGAAGCTGCGGAAAAGAAGTGCGATCAAGTTCCCTGCATGGAAGCACAACATGTAGGCTCGCATTGGCATGTGCGAGAGTGGTCTGAGGAACCAGGAGATGCACCTTCTTGCGAGGGCTCCGGCAGCCTTTGCCGTGCAGGAGTCTAAGTCGGCCCCAGCCTGCTGGTGTTGAAGTTGAGTTGGAAGTCCGGGTCAGGTGGTACCCTCTGTGGAGTTTGCCACAGTCGCTGCAGCCGTTCAGGGTGCTGGCGATGGGACTCTGATACAAGTTAAGCCGGGGCCTTGCCTGAGTAGCACTGTCCGAATTTCAGCTTGCTTGCGCTAGCCGCTAGACATGGAGGGTCCAGGACTGGCTTTCCTGGTTGCGTGCCCGTGTGTCGGCCAGCCTGACTCGCAGCATTGGCCTACAGATTTGCGGCCAGTCTACCTCGACTCAGAAGGGGCGCGAGGTGACTAAAGGGCCTTGCTGATCCGCTTCTGCGTGGAGCCGCTTGAGCAGGTGCCGCGATATGGATGGGGGAGCAGGCCCCTACCCCTCGGAGTCCTCCACTAAGTGGCCGGCCAATGCGGACGGCCACTTGCCTAGAATTCTGTGAAACAGTCATGCATGAAAGACACAAGCGGTGTCCTGCCGTGTGGACCCAGGCTACTCGCTACTGTCTCGCATCGGGCATGGAGCCTTTGCGACAGTGTATAAGGCAGCTCATCTCCAAACCGAGCTTATCCTTTCCATTCCATTCTGAAATCGATTGTCCAAGGCACGGGTCAATCAGGGCCCTGCTGCGGGTTCCGAAGTGGCGGTGAAGGTCATTGAGTTGGAGGAGTGCCCTGACACTTTGGCATACTTGGGACCCTCTGTCCAAACGTGCTGTTTCTGTGTCCTCTTGCTTCTCTCTCTCTCTCTCTCTCTCTCTCTCTCTCTCTCTCTCTCTCTACGTGGAAAGATCAAGCTCCCCGCGCTAAGATTTGCGGATTCGAGCCTGGAAGAGATCCGGCGAGAGCTGCAAATGATGAAGCTTCTCGTCCTTGTCGATTGAGCTCTCCCTACTCCCTACAGAAGTCTTGGACCGGCAGCTTACGCATTGGCCCATTCGAGGATGTGTCGCCATGAGAATGTCATTGCGTACCACGTCCCTTGCCTGAAAGACTTGAAAGCTGTCGGTGACAATTTGGGAGCAATACCTGCGTCTCCGAGGTGGCGTTCCCGGCCAAAAGACAGATGTGGTTAGTGACTCGTTGGAAAATGTTGAGTGGCATTTATTTCGGCACATGGCTCCTGCAGGTAGCGACTTGCGTGTATTCCTCCGTGCTCATGAGGGATGCACACCAAACTCCTCAGCAGGTAATGCCTCTGCTGGAGGGTGGCTCCTGCGCTTATGCTCAGATCTCAGATACGCTTTCCCATGTTTTTGTGCATGTTTGTTGCTTGGATTTCGGTTGACCTCGATGAGGTGATGAGGGCTACCTGCACTCATATGGGTTTCGAGGATGAAAGCATCATTGCATACATCCTGCGGGAAACTGCCAAGGCCGTGCAACTTTAGCATGCTGTTGGGGCTCTTGGCATAGTAGCTGCAGGAGTGCGAGAGGCAACGTTGCCAGGCCGTGAAGTACTTTCACGACAACATGCAGATTCATCGAGATCTCAAAGCAGGGAACATCCTTCTCAGTTTGGATGCAAAGGCCCACAGATTTACTCAGCCTAGTCCCTGGCTCAGTCCATGGCGAGACACTTTGGGCCGTTTTGCAACATTCGGAGGTATTCCTGTCAGACTTTGGCGTCGCTGCGCCCCTCAGGCAAGAGGAGCCAAGGTGCTTCGTCAGGTGAAGCTGTCCTTGTGCAGTTCGTTCAGGGACGACAAGAAGCGACAAACTTTCGTTGGCACTCCCTGTTGGATGGCCCCGGAGGCTCTTGGGAGAGCGTTTGCAGATGACCACGATCATCGTGAGATTGCGACTGCCCGTTCCAGGTCTTAGAACAAACCAATGGCTATGACTACAAGGCTCGGCTTTGCGGACTGGGTGAACGTTGCACTCGAGCCAAAGTCGGTGTTTGAGTGTGGGTTACGTCAGCCTCTATCCGTTCAAGTCGGAGGAATAGCTTTCTTTGGTGGTCGTTGCATGTTGGACATCCGAGTCCGAGCTCGCGTTTCAAAGCTCATCGAAAGAAGTGTGTCTGATGTTTGCGCATACTTGGCATAATTGTGCAGCACTGAAGCATCAGGCGTAACATGCCCAGTACGATAAATGGCCAGAGCTGGACCGGATGCAAGTAGTGGACTATGGGATGCTACTGGGATGCTATCGACCGGCCTCAAAGATACGAAAGCTCCCTTCGGGGAAGAGCTTTCGTTTGAGACCCAGCCTCGCTGATCAGCTCTTAGGCTATAAGGGGTGTGGGGGGCAGGGCGTCCCAAAACGCCCTCCATTTTCGAGCCAGCCCCAGGCCATGAGGTGTTTCTGGCGTGGGCCACGCGGGCTCGTTTTCGGGGCTGCACGCAAAACTCCAGGAGAGACGTCTTTTTGAAGAAACGGGACCCCAATGATGCTTATGATGCCTGGTGCCGGGGCGGGGGGGGGGGTGGTGCAAAGGCAAGTGAAACAGGAGTATCGCCCTTCCGTCCTTTTCCGCCCTCGCGCAGCTTGCCCCGGTTTGTGAGCTTTCGTCCCCTCTTGTTTGGGGCACAAGCATGTATGATCTGGCAAGCTGCAAGCATCACCGGTCGCCTTCACATGCAGGCAGACATCTGGTCTTATGGCGACGGGACTTCAAAAGTTCTCAGTCGCAGATCAGTCCCGGAGGCTTGGCCGCGTTTTGATGCTCTAAGGAATCACGGCCATTGAGCTGGCTAACGGAGAGGCGCCCTACCAAAGGATGCACCCTCTGAAGGCCGGACACCCCCAAAGCAATGGCATCGTCAGAGCAATCGCCACACGCTGTCCTCTTGCTCTCCGCATTCGGTGTCGCAGGTCATGAAAATTATCATAGAGAAAGATCCGCCCAAGGCGAACAGGACGGCTTGGCTGCTCTGTAGTCCAATCACGGAGGTCGATCAAAGCTCTCTAGGTCACCTGTGCAGGATGACTGCTCGGTTTGGAGATTTAGTGACAGGCTTCCCGACATGCAGGAAACTCTCGCACCACTTCTTAGACCTCATCGAAATGTGTCTACAGAAAGATCCGAAGAAGCGGCCGACCATGGAAGAGGCTTAGCGCACGGGAGTGTGGTCCACTTTGCGTGCTGGGCGCTGGGTGCTGGAAATTGCACATCTTCGACCTGTGGCGATCTCGACAGGTCTGCGATAGAAACGCCAAGTTTTTCCGAACGGCCGACGTGAGTCGCCCAGCCCCGGAAGGATTCCAGCAGACGGCTTCGTTTTTCCACCGGTCGCAGCTGTGTTGAGCTGCGCTTTGCTGAGGCCGAGCCCTTGAAGAAGCTCTTGAGTCGGTTACCGCCCTTGGACCAGAGGATACCTCCGCATCTTGGCTGTGATGGCGTCCTGGTGGGCGGAAAGGCCCCTTCTTGCGAGAGCACGGGTTCCCGCTTCCAGGCAACCCATCGCCAAAGAGGAGAAGGAGCCACGGGAGTCTGCGCCAAAGGAGCAATGGGAGCCCCGGTGCTTCTACCATTGCTAGGCTGTTGCCAGAAGTAGTTTACATCACGTTCGCATCTTGCATCATAGTCGCATGAGACAAGAAAAGCTGCACATGAGTCTTCAAGAGCACTGAGGTTTGAATTCATCGCTCCATGTTCCATCCCTGAATGTCTGAATCTGAGGATTTTGCCGTCGACGATGGCTACTCGACTGCAGCACTTGCAGCCGTTTGACTGCTAGTGTTCCTGAGGCACATTGCATGACACCTGAGCCCCTGAAAGGTGATGAGTTTCCAGGGCTGAACGAAACTGAGATGTGAGTTCCATTTCAGACTTGCTTGCGGCGAAGCCGCAGGAAACCGTTGCACAGGCAAATCAGGCGCATGTTCGCTCTTGCCAGATTCTCAAGCGCTAGATTTTACAACTAGCGGCTTTTGAAGTTTGTCTACATACGTGGAGAATAGGGGTTCCTTGGCAAAGAAAGGTGCACCCGCTCGACAGCGATGGGTGCTACTAGCTGTGGGGGCTGGAACTATCTCAAAGTCTTGCAGTGGCAGCGCACTGCTTGGTATCATTCAATCGTGATCTTTCGAAGCACTGTAGAGTCTAACTGCAGAGTGAGCAGAAGGCGTCATGGTACTCACACGTTCCGCCCCCTGCGGCGACCAATGAATCCCTGAGCAAGAATTGGCAGAATTGAGCAGTGGTTAGTTGTTGGTGACTCGTTCAGATCATGGCGAAGCAAAGCTGAGCTGCTTCTCGCCAGCCCAAAAAAGCACCAGCCATCGCCGCCCCTTGCTGGCGTGTTCCTGGTCTTGTGAAGTATCTACATCTGTGTCTATGTCTATGTCTATGTCTACATCTGTATCAGTTTCTATGTCTTTTCTATATCGATGTCTATAGCTGTGTCTGTATCTGTATCTGTATCTATATCTGTATCTATATCTATATCTATGTTTATATCCGTATCTGTGTCCGTACCGTGTATCTATCTATATGCAGATAATGCATATATATATATATACACACACACACACATATGTACATCTATACCTACCTACCTACCTACCTACCTACCTACTTACCTACCTACCTACCTACCTACCTACCTACCTGCCTACCCATATATATATATACACACACACACAAACACACATACATATACATACACATACGACGCGGTTCATAATGTACATATATGACAATGTGTACTGTATAATATATATCTCACAATATACAAAGTTATTTTTTGTAATATTCAGTAGATTGTGGTATACAATATACAATGAACAATCTACGGTGTTCATTATGTAATATGTGGTTCAAACTTTTCATATATAGTATAACAACAGAACAATATCATATAAGATAAAACAGAAGGTATATATAATTGATCAGTTATCATATGTAACTTCTAATGTATAGTATAGTATATGTATATACATACATACATACATACATACATATATACATATATATATATTAGAAAAGCATATATATATATATACACACACACATGCGTATATACATATACATGTGACATAGTTGCATATCGAATAAGATAAGCCTTGACAGAATATATTATAATGGATTATAAAATAACATAAGATGTTGTTATAATGTATAATAACACACGATAGCATAGTAAGATCTAATGTAATGTAATGTAATGCAATGTAACGAAATGTAACATATTATGCTATACTATAATAGATCATAACACAGTGTAACATAGCATAACCAAATATATTGTAAATGTATGACAGCCGAATATACTCTAATAACAGGTTACAGTATATAACACGACAGCTTATAGTTGCGTACCTATATATATATATATATACATACACACACACATATGTGTGTGTGTGTGCCTGTATAATTTGTACAGTATACGAGTATATATACACACATACATATACATGTTATATGAATGGATACATAAATATGCTGGCGCATGGATTACTGTCGTGCGTTT